CCATAATATCATTTTTCATGTAAATATGAATATAAATTAAAATAAGACATGACTCAGTTACCAGGTCATAAAATCTCTTAAAAAAAATATCTGTTTGTGAAAAAGTGTCCGTTAAAATCTGCTAAATAAGGGTGGAGCTACAGTAGAAAGTTATTAGAATAACAGAGAAATAAAAAAGGACGAAAGAGCTTTTATAAATGTAAGCATTACAAAATCATAAAAAATATGTTATTTAGAGCTGATAAGAAAATACAATCGATGTCTCCACGTTTTACCACAGCAATAACTTTAGGTTATATTGACGAAATTAGTTTGGACCACGTAAACATGTGAGATCTTGTATATTACACTGTTACTAACTAGTTACACTGTTACTCTAGTCATTAAATATATTAAATTTCGTAACTCAGCATACTTCAATCAGTTAACAACTGCTCAATTCATATCAAACCCTGTGCCTATGCTAGCGCCATTCTGGAGGATTTTTGAACTGTTATTTAGTGCTGAATGTGAGAAACTTTTTCAAGCTTCTCCCATATGAGACGGTTCTCCTTACCTCTACCCTCCATAATTATTAAGTTGTTGATAATAGTTCGTTCAGTGTCGAAGAATGTGAAGAGAAGGCGTCCCAAAAACACTTAAATCCACGCTCAGGATAAACAATAAGTCGGTTTCGTGGAAGTAATGTTTTAATTTAGTTTTTAGTCCGATATATAATAATTTATTGTGATTATTCATAATTATAAAAGGCGCTAAAGTGGTTTGGTTTTTTTTAAGGGATTTTGTGACCTGGTAATTTAGACCTTTGGATCAAGTCTTATTTTAGTTTTTAATCTTATTTTTATGAAAAATGATTATTATCATTTCATATCATTCATTCTTATTATCATTTCATATCACTCCAAATATGGAGTGAAATGAAATGAAATGAGATGATATGATATGGGATGAAATATAATCTCAGTAAAATGGACCTCGGACGGAGATGAAGAGTGCAGTGGACTCGTTTAGTGCGGTAGGACTCTAAAACTCCTTGGGCCCGCGGTCTGCTCCCAACATCAGCAGATTGTCAAATCACACATACCGCGCGCGCCCCCTTATGCGAAGGGACCTCGTAGGAGGTTCGGCCCCCAACCCGAGAAAAAAAAAAGGGTCCGTTAAACAGCGGATGTTCCCTACTTCAAACTAGGAGTATTATTAGCAAATTTGCCAGGTTAAGCGCCATGAGCTCAGCTACACATCTGTATAATTTAGAATAACTCGAGGCTACTCAGATACCGTAATTGGCGAATGAAAATATGGTCTACCATCATACGACAATGTCACTGGTGATAGGATCTCTTGTTCACTGGTGGTAGGACCTCTTGTGAGTCCGCACGGGTGGGTATCACCACCCTGCCTATTTCTGCCGCGAAGCAGTAATGCGTTTCGGTTTAAAGGGTGGGGCAGCCGTTGTAACTATACTGAGACTAGAACTTATCTCAAGGTGGGTGGCGCATTTACGTTGTAGACCCATCTTTTGGAACGAAGTTCCTTATCGCGCGTTGTGAAAGGGGGCTAGACGGAAAAAATTCTTACGAAAAGTTGTCACGACACTTTTTAGATCCGTCATTCTGACCAATCAACGTGTAGGCGCTTATCGCGTGCCATTGCTCGTATCCGATTGGTCCGCGTAATGACTACAGTTTCTCGAGATAGCGTTTCAACAATAGTAATTTAGTTCATAGTATTGTTTTTTCTTCTTCATAATGCCGTAATTTATTATTATAACTTAAAAAAAAAATACAATTCCTTCACTAATTAATCGAAAGGAACTTCGTTCCATCCGGGTGTCCCTTGACACCTCTGAAGTTTTTTTTATTTATTGCCCTTGTAGGCAGACGAGCATACGGCCCACCTGATGGTGAGTGGTTACCGTCGCCCATGGACTTCAGCAATGCCAGGGGCAGAGCCAAGCCGCTGCCTACCGAAATCTAAGCAATAAGAAAAAAATAAAAAAAACATAGGCATTCCGCTGCCTTCCGCGGAGTACTACTCTAAGCAAACGACAAGTGAAAATCTGATGTCGGTAGATTGCTCTGCGGAGCCTCTAGCGTGCATCAGCTCTGTGACGCTGCCGTAAAGAGAAAGTTCAAACACCGAGTAACAGTTTTATCATGTCCCACTTACAGTTGTACTAAATACGAGTCGGTCGCATACAGAGCTGTCGTACTGTTGCGATGTTGAAATAAAGAATACGTCAGTGTGTTTACTGCGAGTTTTTTAACGTTTTTTTTCTTTTTTTTTTTTTTTTTATTGCTTAGATGAGTGGACGAGCTCACAGCCCACCTGATGTTAAGTGGTTACTGGAGCCCATGGACATCTACAACGTAAATGCGCCACCCACCTTGAGATATAAGTTCTGAGGTCTCAATTATAGTTACAACGGCTGCCCCACCCTTCAAACCGAAACGCATTACTGCTTCACGGCAGAAATAGGTAGGGTGATGGTACCTACCCGTGCGGACTCACAAGAGGTCCTACCACCAGTAATTACGCAAATTATAATTTTGCGGGTTTGATTTTTATTACACGATGTTATTCCTTCACCGTGGAAATCAATCGTGAACATTTGTTGAGTACGTATTCCATTAGAAAAATTGGTACCCGCCTGCGGGATTCGAACACCGGTGCATCGCTCTACACGAATNGTAATTACGCAAATTATAATTTTGCGGGTTTGATTTTTATTACACGATGTTATTCCTTCACCGTGGAAATCAATCGTGAACATTTGTTGAGTACGTATTCCATTAGAAAAATTGGTACCCGCCTGCGGGATTCGAACACCGGTGCATCGCTCTACACGAATGCACCGGACGTCTTATCCGTTAGGCCACGACGACTTCAGTTCTCGATACCGTTAAAGTTAACTCAATTTTGTATGGAGTTGGAACCTTTGCCTACGTCTGCCGCTAGGGACGCTGTTCCAATTTCCTACAAATTGAGTTAACTTTTACGCTATCGAGAACGTTAAAAAACTCACACCAAGCAAGCAGGATTCATTTATGTTGCTTTTTCGGCGATTGATGGGTCGTAATATCTGTAAGCTCCATGCAGCTTCCTACGGCTCTACGGGTAGATTAGGTCGTTATTACTAACGGTAGGACCTCTTGTGAGTCCGCGTGGATAGGTACCACCACCCCGCCTATTTCTGCCGTGAAGCAGTAATGCGTTTCGGTTTGAAGGGCGTGGCAGCCGTTGTGACTATTCTTGAGACCTTAGAACTTATATCTCAAGGTGGGTGGCGCATTTGCGTTGTAAATGTCTATGGGCTCCAGTAACCACTTAACACCAGCTGGGCCGTGAACTCGTCCACCCATCTAAGCAATAAAAAAAAACAAATTGAGTTAACTTTTAAGGTAACGAGAACGTTAAAATACTCGCACTAAGCAAGGGGGATTCATTTATGTTGTTGCTTTATCGGGCATTGATGCGTCGTGATGTCTGTAAGCTCCATGTAGCTTTTTGCTACAGCTTTGATACCATATTCAAATTCAATTCAAATTCAAAATTGGTCGACAACCTTTTTTTTTTCTTTTTTTCGGGCCGGGGGCCGAACCTCCTACGAGGTCCCCGCTCCTTGGGGACGTGCGGGGTATGTGAGACTCAACGATCTGCAGGTGTTGAGAGCAGACCGCGGGCCTAAGGAATTTCAGGGCCCACCCACTAAACGACTCCCCTGCACTCTTACACCCGACGTCCGATCTCCGTCCGGGGTCAAAACCCGGTCAGAGTAGGGGGGTTCCTGCGGTCAACACTACAACCAGACACGCGGCGGAGTGGTCGACAACCTTCGTCAACCAAAAGAACCAAATACAGATAACACCTAATTTTACAGCAGAACCATTTAATGTTTTTAATTTGGAAAAAATATCATGACAAAAAATCTTCTTCAATTATTACAATAAAGTAAACATAATTGAAGTTCAATTAAAAACATCGAACTGTTGATGCTGATACCAATTAAAACGCATCTTTAATTACAGAGATAAATGTTGCGGGTTAAGCGAAATGTCGCTTGGATTAAGTAACCTTTCACCTCTCGATATATTTTTATAGCTTTGTGTATCAAAAGTGTTTACTTGTCTCTTACAAGGTAAGATAATAAGTAATATTTCGTGTCTACATTAAACATATCGCGAAAGAGCCGTAGCCAAGAAATCGAATAACTGTGGGTTCTCGACCACTGATCTATTAGGAATGTTCCGAGATAATTTCTCTGTCACCCCAATCCGATAACGGAACAGAATTTGTCCATAGAACCGCTGAGTTCATCCATACTACCTGGAGCCACTGCGTTCATCCACTTTTTTTCCTACCTATGCTGACAGCCTTGAGAGGCTATTTCAGCTTCGCCTTGACGTGTAGGTGAGCTCACGGGGCCCAAACTGGAATGTTACTAACATTGGCCCTAGCAAGAGCAGTGCTTTACAGAATCTACCACCGGATCGGAAACGCGATCCACTGAGACAATCTGATGAGAAACTCAGTGAGCTGTGTCTATGAGTTAATTCACTCGTCGAACCCTTCGTCGCAAACGACGGGCGAGGACGGTGACCGGTGCTTGAGCACCGTTAATGTATCGGGAGGATCCGTAATGACTTGTTTAGGGCGACGTCGACTGTTTACCATTCTGTCCACAGGATCGGGTATGACTTCGTTCACAGTGCGTTTCCAGTGATCTTTTCTGCCCTGTCATATCTGGCTATGGAATGAGCTCCCTCCTCGGTTAGGTGCGGTTTCCCGAGCGTTGGTGTATATCCCTCTTCAAACGAGATTTGTGTACTCTGCGGCTAATAGCAACTTGGCTATTGGCCCTTGAAATTGCGGCATCCAGGAGTGACCGTGCCCATTCACCATGAGACCGTACGCTCATCTTACAAAGCCCATACAAAAGACTACTTAAGAACATTTAAGTAATCATCGGTATAAATAGCATTGTAAACTTTCTGTTTCAGAACAAGATGAAGACTCTCCGGCTGGTTTGCTTTCTGATGCTGCTCTGCTATGTCGTGGCGAAGAAGAAAACCGAAGACCATAAGGTAATCACACTTACTTTTTGTTTCCACTGAAACCTGACATGGTCTCTGCGTGATGGCTCTTGCTAAATCTATGAATCACGTTGAAGGGATACCTCGGATTTTCGTCATATTCACTTTTCAGACTTCTCCGACGTGAAATATCAGACAGCCTTTATATTATTGAGGCTTCAATCTCATGTCTCAAAAAGAGTGTCTCCATTGGTGCTGTGATACCGTTGGGTCCGAGGAAGCACTCAACTACAGATGAGGTCTTCCACTGATCAGCGAATTAAAACAATTTAACTCTTCCGGCCCTCTCTGCTGCCCATCTTTGGTCGCTGCCAAACTTGACCTGATCATTCACCAGGCCGATCTGGAGATTTCTTGAAAACCTCAACGACCTCAACCCGTCCAGCTGTCTCTACGTCGATAAGGAACATATATATGTACATCGACTTTTGCCTTTCTTAGATAGCAACGTTTTAGATGATGGTTCTAGAAGTCTACAAGTTGAAATCCGGATCACACACGAATAGCTCAACAGGATTTTGTGTAAACTAGATCCGTGCGCTTAGTGCAAGTTTTTTAACGTTCTCGAAAGCGTAAAAGTTAGCTCGTATTTGTATAGAATGGGAATAGCGCCCCTAGCGGCAGACGTAGGCAAACGTTCCAACTCCATACAAAGTTGAGTTAACTTTAACGCTATCGAGAACGTTAAAAGACTCGCACTAAGCACACTGGTCTGGTTCTGATGTCGGAATAGAGTACTAGGAAAGTGATATAGTAATGGTTTCGCAGGTCAAAATAGCGGTCTATTACGAATCCCTTTGTCCTGACAGCAAGAAGTTTATAACGACGCAACTGGCTCCCGTCTGGAGGGACTTCAGAGGACTTGTCAAAGTCAAAATGGTCCCGTATGGGAAGAGCACGGTAACTATTAAAATATCATTTATATACCTAATGTCTTTTAGGGTATCTATGCAAACTTGTTACTTTTTTTCCCTACCTATTTTAGTAGCCTCTAGGGGTTATACTAGATTCTCCGGGCAAGTAGGAGAGCTCACGGGGCTCTAACCTGAGGGTTGTTATAGTGACCGCCATTAATAACATATCCGACTTCGGTGACGGGGTGACACAAAGCCACCGTCGCCCTAAGCATGTCTTGTCAGATCCTCTAGATCCACTCTTGGTGCTTTTTCTTCAAGCACCGGTCACCGTCCTCGTCGAACTCTTCTTCATAATCGACGAACTAGCCCATAGCCCATAGACATAAGCCACTGAGTTTCTGGTCGGATCTTCACAATGGGTCGCGTTTCCGATCCAGTGGTAGATTCAGCGAAACCCTGCTCTTTCTAAGATTAGTGTTAACAAGTACTCTCTGGTTGAGGCTTGCCTACCAAACCGCGCATGGCTGGAATATGCCCTTAGGCTGCCAACGATTTGGTAGAGGGATCCAGAGTAATTGGTTCAAATACCGACACAGTTGCGTCACATACCAGTAACAAAGTCTTCAACTCTTGAAAATCGAAGACAAACTTAATCCTCTCCTCCTTGCAGCACGACAAGGTGGATGGGAAATGGTCATTCATCTGCCACCACGGCGCTGACGAGTGCTACGGCAACAAGGTGAGAGACTAGGTTAAAAGCTCCACTGGAACTCTTCCATATTTCTGTTGAGTCTCTATATCATCGTCATCATCATCAGCCTTTATCTGCCCACTCCTGAACATAGGCCTTCCCCAATACCTTCCCCAGAATGCGGTCCTCCGCCTTCCGCATCCAATATATTCTAGTATTAGTATATAGTCTATATCGGGCAAGGATTAATAAGACACGTGTTCAGTTAAGTGAGTAAAGCATATTGGGATTAAAATCTAACGTGCTATCGACAGCCCGACAATCCTGAGACTGAACGTAGCATCACTGCTATGGGGACAATTGCGGTCCCTACATTTCCAAGGACCAACCCCTATTTTCACTTCGAAAATTTGTGCACATGATCACGTCAAAAATTGTTGAACGCCTTTTTTTTTATTGCACAGATGGATGGACGAGCTCACAGTCCTCCTGGTGTTAAGTGGTTACTGGAGCCCATAGACATCTACAACGTAAATGCGCCACCCACCTTGAGATATAAGTTCTAAGGTCTCAGTATAGTTACAACGGCTGCCCTACTCTTCAAACCGAAACGCATTACTGTTTCACGGCAGAACCTACCCGCGCAGACTCACAAGAGTTCCCACCACCAGTAATAGTAGGCCTTCGGATTGATTCCGCATAATGACCTGACCCGGATATATTTCATCACGGCAAATGTCAAGCCGGCTAGAGGCGGATGAGGGAGTCGAAGATCGGGCTCAGGGGTGTGGATTTGGCTTATGTCCAGCAGTGGACGCCTGTGGCCTGATGATGATGAAACGTCAAGCGAATAACGTCAGGAGTAGCGTCTATAGTGAACTCAACCGGGTAATACGCAGGCTGCAAGCCGGGACTAGTTCAATGACCTGTCTCTAGGAAATCTATATATTAATACGTGAAGCAAAAACTTTGTACCCCTTTTTACGAAAATTGCGCGGACGGAGGAGTATGAAATTTCCCGCAGTTATAGTGAATATAGAGAAGTGTATATTTTTTTAATTATGCATAAAAAATACATAACACACACTACCATGTATTTGACACACACACGCAAATACTCTTTTGTTTATTGTCAAACTTTTGTTATTGTTTAAAGTCTGTCGTCAAATTGAGAATAGATTAATATATTGTTTGTCTTTAATATTATTTGTCTATAGTGGCGAAATATGTAATTATAGAAGTATAATAATAGTCTTTGACAATAGAATCATAATAATGTTCAAACTTATAATTTCAATTAATTATAGTCGAATTTCGACTATTGGGGGACCACTAGTAAATACTAATATTCTAAGCGTGAATGTTCTGCATTAGTATACTACTGTGTGCTTAGTGCGAGTTCTTTAACGTTCTCGATATCGTAAAAGTTAACTCATATTTGTATAAAATGGGATCGTTTGTCTACGTTTGCCGCTAGGGGCGCTGTTCCAACTGCATACAAAATTGGGTTAACTTTTACGCTCTCGAGAACGTTAAAAAACTCGCGCTAAGCACACTGATATCACCACTACTGCAACTAGAGCTGTACTTATTTTCTTGACCATGTGGTTTTAGGTGCAAGCCTGCGTCCTGAAGGACCGCAACCTCCAGGACACGGAGAAGATGGAGATTGTAATATGCCTCATGAACCAGACCAGCCCCGACAAGTCTTTGGACACGGTACGTTTGATTTACTACTAGGGTACTACGCCGGTGTCTCGCTTCCAGACTATTTGCTATGTATCGACCAGTGGATGGGTATTTGGTTAAAGCAACTTTTTTGCAACTTTACAGGAGAGCCATTTAAAGTTTAGAAATTTGGTCGAAATATCATAACAAAAAAAAACTGTTTTCAGCTGTTTAGGTGTAGGAAACTTAATTGAAGTTCTATTGAAAACATCGAACTGTTGATGCTGATACCAAATAAGACGGACCTTTAATTACAAAGATAAATGTCGGTTAGCATTTCACCATACTACCTGGAGCCACTGCGTTCATCCACAGTGCGCGTCCAGAGATATTTTTTGCCGCGTACTATCCGGCTTTGGAATGAGTTCCCCTCCACGGTGTTTCCCGAGCGCTATGACATGTCCTTCTTCAAACGAGGCTTGTAGATTTAACGGTAGGCAGCGGCTTGGCTCTGCCCCTGTCATTACTGAAGTCCATGGGCAACGGTAACCACTCACCATCAGGTGGACCGTACGCTCGTCTACCTACTAGGGCAATAAAAAAAAGTGGTTAACAATAGGTAGTGGACTTTACAAGACAGACAGAGTCGCTTTCTGGCTAAGGTATGTTTGATTACGGGACACATCCGGGTCATAAAATAGAGTGACACGGAATCGTGCGCGCTAATAGAACTGACCCTACAAATACATAGAGACGGTCCACTCTTGGCCTAGTGGTTAACTGCCTTAACCCTCAGACACAGCCCACTGAGTTTCTCGCCGGATTTTCTCAGTGGGTCGCGTTTCCGATCCGGTGGTAGATTCTGCGAAGCACGGCTCTTGCTAGGGTTCGTGTTAGCAACGTCGTCAGGTTTGAGCCCCGTGAGCTCACCTACTAGTTAAGGTTACGCTGATATAGCCTCTCAAGGCTCTCAGCTTAGGTAGGAAAAAAAAGGCCTAGTGGTTGTGGTCGCTATGCAGCCGTGGAGTGGGCAGAACTGACCTCCCGCCCCTCTTCTTTATAGTGAGCATGTGACCTGTAAATCTTTAAAAGTCTGTTTTTGGGCATATAGGATACACATACCTATAGGAATGTGGGCAAAATCGCCTCCCGCTCTGAGCGAAGCAACGCAGTTTTACTGCCGCTTCAGAGGATAATCGCGCATTAGGCTTTTTAAATATAACATCGCTAATCGAAGCCAGCATGTTAATATTTCACCCCCCCTTTTTACGTGTCTTTAACCACAAAGTGTTTATTCGTATGGAGGTTACAAATAAGGAGCGCCCTTTTGTATAGGGGACAAGTTGACAAAGTGTCCGTCTGTAAACAGCGCGTTGTTGTTGGAAGACTCACCGACATAGCGTTAGTGTAGGCAGAGGAAATTATATGAATTTAACAGTTTTAAGCAGTCAAGTGTGCGCAGGTTAAAACATTTCATATTTTTCGTGACTTGGGTAGATTGACACAATACAGTATTTAAAATCTCAACTATTTATTTTTATTACTATTTATGTAACAAGAGTTTCTTTCGTTTTTAATTTAATATTCTACTCTAACAGCTTATGGCTCGGTTTTAAATCTCGAATATATTAAGATTATTAAGTGTATAATCTATGGTTTTAAAATCTCTCCACTTGCTACTGTGGCGCCACCTATACCATCCATAGTTTGCAAAATATAAAGTCTTTAATTGTATTAGTATTGAAAATGATAATGGTGATTGGTCCGTGTTGAGCATACATATTTACAGATTTAGTTATGTACTTAAATTTTTATTTCAAATTCATTAATCGATAAGCTGTGTGTTGCGCTTAAGACGATAACATCATTGTTAATTATAGTGTAAAGATCGATATTAACTCCGAAGCGATCGAACAATGGAAATTGGCCACTCGATTCATGGGGTTAGTCGATTTTAATTAACTCTTAATTATTCGACTAAGATATTTTTTGTATTATTCTATAAATAAAATTTCAGTAATCATTTCTACAAGTAGCGAATTCACTATTAGGCTGAGTAGACTAGAGTCTAGATAGATTTTAATGGTGGCAAATATGGGGAAAACTTTTTCAATGTTTTTCAGAAATTAAAAAAAGATATTTACCTATTTATCTAAATATTATTGGCTCATCACAGCCAATACCACATGTGATATGTATCTTTAGAAGTGGCATAACTTCCATTAATAAACGGGTAAATCCGCCTTTGACTTCCACAACGAATTAATAACATTATATAGTAAAAGTCATACCCACAGAATTTATAGTTTTCATAATTATTTTAGGGCTTATTGTGACTCACACGCGTAAAATCATTCTACCTGACTGTCGTGAACTATATAGATAATACACATAAATTAGTTATAGATAAGCAACTCAAACACTCAACAAAGATGTTTACGGGCATCGGCCACTAGATGGATTCGCTTCCATTACTTTCTCATTGCTCCTGTAGATGAAAGTAACATATTACCTATCCTATATTTTATTATTAACGAAGGATTCTGTAAATTTTCAGAAACCACAAATTGATAAAATGTTTTCAATTTATCTATAACAAATAAAGACCTGTATGATGTATTATTTTTTTATTTTCTGCGTTTCATTGCACAAGAATTAAATGTCTTAACTCTAACAACATATAAGCTTAGAAGCATCCGCTACAAGATGTCTCTAGTTTCCATACAAAAAATATTTGTCTTAAAGTATCGCAGTTTCAGGGCCCTATGTGAACTATGTCCTCGTGACTCAAGGTGTTAGCATTCACGATACACTACCCGTGGACTCAAGTCCCTTAAGACAGCTGCTATTTTGCTTGCACGCTTACACTAATTATTTTCTGTATTAATCCGTGTTATGCGATTACTGAATTTTATATTAATTTGCGTACAGTGCTTAACTCAAGTGGACAAGATGTCGGAGTCGGGTAAACTGAAAAGATGCGCATCCAGTGAACAAGGAGACAATCTGCTCGCGTCGTACGGTGATAAAACGGATGCTGTGATGAGACCTCTCGCGTTCGTGCCCACCGTTATTATTAACGAGGTTTGTCTTCTATTTAGTTTCTATTCTGTGTTTGATTTGTAATTAAAATCTTAATCTTGGATCTCCAGCGGACAATTGCTACCAGCAAGCGGGAATGTCAATATTTATATTGATCGTTTTAGTTCTCCAAGCAAAGGTTTATTAAAAGTTCACTAAAGGCTGGTGGTAGGATGTTTTGTGAGTCCGCACGGGTATGTACCACTGCCCTGCCTATTTCTGAAGTGAAGCCTTCGCCTTCGAAACGCATTACGCGTTTCGGTTTGAAGGATGGGGCAGCCGTTGTGACTATACTGAGACCTTTGAACTCAAATCTCAAAGTGGATGGCGGCACTTACGTTGTACACGTCTATGGGCTCCAGTAACCACTTAACACCAGGTGGGCTGTGAGCTTGCCCAACCATCTAAGCAATAAAAAAAACAAAAAAATGAAAATAAAAACACTGGCCCTTGCAAGAGCCGTGCTTCGCAGAATTGACCCCCGGATCGGAAACGCGACCGACTGAGAATATCCGCCGAGAAACTCAGTGGGCTGTGTCTATGGGTTAATTCACTTGTCGAGCCCTTCGTCGTAAGCGACGGGTTCGACAAGGCGATGACCGGTGCTTGAGGTACCTAAAAGTACCGTTAATGGATCGGGTAAATCTGTAATGACGTGTTTAGGGCGTCGACTGTTTACCATTCGGTCCACATGATCTGGTATGAAATTCCCGGCGGCCGCGAGAAGCCAATTTACTAACGTACCACAGAATCTTAAAACACAACTTTGTTACAGAAATACGACAAAGATGTCGAAACTCAAGCCTTCGAGAACTTGAAGGCGGTTGTGTGCCGCGTTGCGACCCCGCAGCCCTCGATCTGCTCGTAAAATGAATAGCATTAAGGCTGATTTTACACATTCAACATTTCTTCACGTACAAAACAAAACAGTACTACGCAGAGATTTTGTATCAACATATCAATAAAATATATAATTTTCTAACTACTTTGTTTTCTGTGCGCTTAATTTCCCTTCCATTTTTGAAGAGAAACTTCTTTAGAATCGTTGCGATGTGATTTGAAACTCGATGAAACGAAAAAATTAAACGTGAAGTTAAAATATCAATTCACAGAGGGCGCTACCTCATACTTTTGTTATCAACAGATGTCACTACATGTAAATTCAACAATCCCTGAATCGCGATGACGAGATGCTACACAGTCGATAGACATTCTCGTATTTCTCTTGCTAAATCATATTTACTTGACGTAGAGATGCCATGATCATGCAGGCGGCTCCCCCAGGATGAGGCTGCTCCATTGCATTGCGGAGTGGTTGGTAGTTGACCCTTGCGTTTATTCTCATTTTTTATTAGTTTCTTGTGTGACTTGCACACACATACATTTTTTATACAAGCACCATGATTTTTCTAAAACTCAATTTACATGTCTATTGTCTTTTTACATTTTGTTTTATGGACAGTAGAATGATTTCATGGTTCAACTTAAGTGGTTACCGGGGCCAATAAACATCATCACTTGAATGCTTGAAACTTTACATATTAACTATAAATCAGTATATAGTATATAATATTATTGCCTTTAAAAATCCTATTAGCATTCCTTATTTTCTACCTGATGGAGGGCCATGAATGCCACAACAGATAGATACTATTTAAGCTTGTGCCTCTGTCCAAACTATTTAGGTGAATATCACATGCCCTTGAACTCACCAACCTATTTTAGTGAGTTTGGAAGATTATCTAGGCCGCTAGCAATACCTTTATCCAACAAAATTGTATCGGCATTCTTTACCTATGAAATGATTTACTCCTTAAAAATCGATTTCAATCAAATTAGTAGTGAAATCGACCGTTACGAAAAGTAATATTATGTTTATTATTAAAATAAAATAATAAACTTTATTTATTTAATTGCACCAACAAAGTCATCATCAATACAAAACATTGACAAATTGTCAATAAGTACATGACAGATATCACCTTAATTATAGGTGCAACCGACAGTGCAATAGTTGACAACATCTTGAAATTAGAAAAGTAAAAATATAATGAGTAATTTAAAGAAATATGAAAACCAGAATAATACTTTGTCACTAAAAAAACAATATTTCATATCTAAACTTAAACGTTAAAGTCTAATGTGTCCAAACAATTGTCACTACACATTATGTCGGAGAAGCCACAATTATTAACACCATCGTCAGACATCGTAGGGACGAATAGGGTGATCGAGGTAAGAGAAATATTGAGTACACCAATCACGCTTGTTGTCTTAGAACAATTTAGAAATCTCCTCCTGACGCCAGCAAACGAAATCGAATACGAAACCGTTCTTAGGACGGAGGCTCCGCTCTTCAAGAAGGCTGGTTGGTAAGTGTGATGGCATCAACGCGTATCCATCGGCTAGGCTCTGTCGTAGCACGAAGCTAGCAGAGTTCCGACGATACCGCAATCCTGCTACCATCTCTCGGGAATCGTGCTGCGTTTCGTTTAGCTACCAAACTAATGACCGTCTCCAACATATTATTATTTACAAAATTTGGTAGATATTGAGCTATGATAGCAAGTAGATTAAAATATTCCAATAGCTTTTAATGTTTTTAGTAATTTATTTTAGTCATGTTAAATTATGTTGACACTATATAAACATGTTACATGTAATATACCTTCCTTAATGTTAATATACCTTCAAGAATAGATGGCAGCACATTTATTCTTTGCGTAAATGTTATACGCACATTTTACCGAATCTAAATAGATAAATAATAATGGAAAAAATTCAGTATTAACAAAGATTTCGTAGCGTTTTTGTTCCCTTTGACTGTTATGTAATCAATGAAAACCCTATTTAAAAAGTAAACCCACGAAACCGATCTACGTAACCGCAGGATAAACTGCGGGCGTGGTGTTCGCAGTCTCCAAATCGACACGACAATAGTACTTTTAGGATGAAATAATCATTTATTTAGTTGATAAAAATGTGTACATGAATAAAGCACACAATTAATTAAAAGATAGTCAAACTTTCAACCTGACATATGGGAAGGGGCATTGGTCATCACCGATAACAAAATAAATAAAAATCGACTAAAACAAGACGCAGTTCGACGTTCGAAAGCCCAACACTACGATATAAATACGGCACTGTTCATCTAAATGTCAAGTCAATCTAAAAAAAAGCACAAGTAAATATTTTTCCCTGTGCGCGTGTAATAATTCATAATTCCACATTTACAATGGATTTTATTTGATATTATGTATTAAACGATGCAAAGTGGTCGATCATGTAGTATTCTACGAATTTGCAACGCCACAACGTGAGAGAAAAAACAGGTAAATCATAAATAACGCATCGTATAGTACTGTGCTAGTTTTTCGTGTTTTCGCGCGTAAAATCAACGTTTTAATGTTTACAAACAACTATTTATTGTACTTTATAATGTTTTGTAGTTAAAATTATCGATTTTGTTTGGCGTTGCATTAAATAATGTACGGGAGTATTCTGGCAAATCGTTGTCCCTTTGCGCCGATGCGATTAATAGAAAATAGATCTTATGCATAGAGACTTTAGAGTCGAGAATAGATTTTGTACCGTTCCTTTAATGCGCTTACAGAATAGGTACGCGGGAGTGGTTCCATTTTTGAATGTTTTGTGGATCTAAATGGATAGATTGTTACCGTAATTTTGGCGGCATTTCTTAAATTAAAATAAATACAATTTAAGTTTTATATTTAATTTGTAATGTTTACTAAATAAAGCCATGACAGTTTTATTTAAGTTTTTTTATTGAATAAAATCCATAAAAACAAACCACTCGACTATGCCCTAGTATTTCTTTTCGTTTATTAGTTTGGTTCATGATTGTTAAAATTGGAATTCAAGCCACAAATCCCGAACCTCTTGAGGGTCACTTCCAATTTTACCAACACAACACACACACAATTTTGTTTATAAACACAGGATCCAATAAATTTTGACCGGAATATTATTTTCTTAGCTCTAGTATAAAAATTATTTTTTAAACTCAATAGATCACTTACTGTTCTAATATCCTTAGCATTTTATAATATATAACGATTGTAGCTTTAGTTCCATTTATGTACTAGTAGTTAGAAGTAGAAAGCAATAAACAAAAAGCAAATTTATTCTTCCAACATTTTTAAATTTATTACATAGACCAACGCACTTAAGCAATCACTTGAGCCCATAGAAATCTTAACTTGAATGCTGCACCACCTCCTTGAGACATCAGGCACACCCTTCAAACTAGAATGTATCATTGTCTACTGCCAATTAATAGGTAGTAACAGACTGCATACCTTCACTGTGGCTTACCACCTGTAAATGCCAGTAAGCAATCTCAGTATTCTGGAGTAATACCCAGAGAATGTTGCGGCCTATTCTCCGACGTTATCCCAAGTCGCCTTTTACTATACTCGGGAGGAGAGAAGCTGCTGGTCTAGGCCATACCACACAGTCAATAGTCTTGTAAAAAAATAATCATGATTTATTAATTAAACAATCCGTACTAATATTATAAATACGAAACTTATGGTGGGACGTCTTGAGTCTGTACGGGTAGGTACCACCACCTTAGTTATTTCTGCCGTGAAGCAGTAACACGTTTCGGTTTGATGGGTTAAGCAAATGTTGTACTGTAAAAACAGAACTCATGACAAGGTAGGTGGCGGCACTTACATTGTTGATGTCTATGGGCTCCGGTAACCACTGAATACCGGATGGGCCGTGTGTTTGTCCACCGAACTTAGCAATAAATAAATAAACTGTTGATACCAGTTTATAGAGGGAGAGGATGGCGGTGTAATGTGTCTAACCCAGCAGGGTGGTTCTGGTATCTCTCCTCTCTATTCCTCCGTATCTTAATAGCCAATGTGGTCGAAGCGAATTGATGACTCCACATCCGGACGTCCTTGGGATGAGCCGCGCGTCTGATTACAGTTTTGACGTCGATAATCCCTCCCACCTCTCTCGTGTTTTGTCTCAAACGGAGATTCGGCGTGAGTGCGGGAGGGAAATTCAGTGGGTTGCATCCAACATCTTTAGAAGGCCCAGATACGTGCTGCCTCCTCTCGCCACAAGTACCTCGAAGAAGGTAGGGATCCCGGTCCAGAAAATAAAGGAATGGTGTTCCTCGTAATGAATAGCGGGATTGTCGAGATTGGCTGTTAAGGTCCTTTGACCAATATTAGACAAAGACTGAAATGGAACTGGGCGGACCACGTAGCGAGGTTACAAGATGAAAGATGGACCAAAAGAGCTACTTTTTGACAAAGAGACACAGAGGTACACTGCACACAAGGCGGGATGACACGCAAGGACATCGGGCCCAAACTGGATACAAGTGGCCCAAAATAGGGAACATTGGTTTTCGTTGTCGGTCTTCACTCAAGGAGAAGTTCTTGCAAATAATTAAAATAAAATATTATGTATTGTGAGAATTGTTAATTATTGGTTGCAATTATTGATTGGTATTACTAGTGGTAGGACCTCTTGTGAGTCCGCACGGGTAAGCGGTAAAGGCGGGGCAGCCGTTTTAACTATACTGAGATCTTAGAACTTATATCTCAAGGTGGGTGGCACATTTACGTTGTAGATGTCTATGGGCTCCAGTAACCACTGAACACCAGGTGGGCTGTGAGCTCGTCCGCCCATCTAATCATTTTATTTTATTATTATATTAGACAAAGTCGGCTACTAAATGTCTTGTGAACTGGCAGGTCGCTGACAATGTTCCGTACGTGCTGCGTACTCGGCTGCGGGGTCACATCTACTCAGGACATCATATTTTTCGAGTGAGTCCTTTTTTTCTTTTTTCCTACCAAAGCCTTGAGAGGCTATTTCAGTGTAACCTTAACTAGTAGGTGAGCTCACGGTGCTCAAACCTGACGACGTTGCTAATACGAACCCTAGCAAGAGCCGTGCTTCGCAGAATCTACCCCCGGATCGGAAACGCGACCCACTGAGAAGATTGGGCGAGAAACTCAGTGGGCTGTGTCTGAGGGTTAATTTACTTGTCGAGCCCTTCATCGCAAGCGACGGGTTCGACGAGAACTATAGAGACCATAATTGTATGTCTACATATGTACGTCTCATGTCTGTGCTGTTGAGGGGTTTCCTCAATCAAGACCAGACTCGCCCTCAGCCATGTCAGGGTAAATATTATAATCGACTACCGTAATGCTGCTGTAGAGTTCCTTCATATGGAGCCAGTCCAGGATGTCGATCCAGATCTGTTCGTCATTGTAAACTAAGCCGACATGTGAAATTCATTCATTAAAACGCAACGGTTTTCGAATCCCGCAGGCGGGTACCAATTTTCCTAATGAAACACGTACTTAACGAATGTTCACGATTGACTTCCACGGTGAAGGAATAACATCGTGCAATTAAAATCAAGACCGCATAAATTATAATTTGCGTAATTACTGGTGGCAGGGCGTCTTGTGAGTCCGCGCGGGTAGGTACCACCACCCTGCCTATTTCTGCCATGAAGCAGTAATAGGGGGCAGCCGTTGTACTGAAAACTAAAACCAGAGCTCTTGACTCAAGGTGAGTGGTGGCATTTCCGTTGTAGATGTCTATGGGCTCCAGTAAACACTTTTTTTTTGCTTAGATGGGTGAAAGATCCCACAGCCCACCTGGTGTTAAGTGGTTACTAGAGCCCATAGACATCTACAACGTAAATGTGCCTCCCACCTTGAGATATAAGTTCTAAGGTCTCAAGTATAGTTACAACGGCTGCCCCACCCTTCAAACCGAAACGCCTTACTGCTTCACGGCAGAAATAGGCGGGGCAGTGGTACCTACCCGGGCGGACACACGAGTGCTCCTACCACCACTTTACACCAGGTAGCCGCTGGTCCACCTATCTAAGTGGTAAAGTATGTGGGATACAAATATCGTGGTCCTAATCAATCTAAAGACTATTATATCCTTTCAGTTTCCCGACGAGTCGTCTCCTCCGCCAGCGATGGCTCAAGGCCATAGCGCCGTCCTGCAAGATAACCTTGGAATCGGGACTGTGCAGCAAACACTTCGCCAAAACGGACTACGAGTACATCAGAGGGAAGGTCAGGCTCAAAAGGAAGGTGGTGCCAACGTTATTTATAAAAGATGTGAGTATGTCCAGCCTTCAGACGACAGGTCCGGCTCAGATCGAACTCAGGTCGACAGTCAACACCTCCTGACTTGACCTTACCAAGTATTGAGACAAAGTCGAGCTCATGTCTCAAAGGCGAGGGTATCAGAATCCTGATGTGCCCAGTGCCCACTCCTGCAGGCTACCAGTAGATAATCGGAGTAATTGCAGTAATTGAAAGTGCCTGATTTGAACTTCATTGATTGAGTTCATAGCAAAATTAACATAGAGTTGAGTGTGGTTCTTGTGCATCAATAATAAAACTTAAAACAACACTATCTATTGAAACCTTTTAAAGCAAGAATTTATTATATGTTATATGTATGCAGTCTAGAACGAGACACCAAAACAACATTTTTTTTTAAAACACACTTGTACAAATTTTACCAAAGTAGCTTTACAATAAATTCCTTTATTTTTCAGACAAGCGTCGAAACACGGACAGAAGATTTAATAGAAAACTCAATTAGTGATAAAACTGAGAAATCCAATAATAATATTGATAATAAAAGTGTAATAACAAATGACAAAATTAAAACGGTTCATAAAAACAACAAGAAAACAAAAAAAAACATCGACAAAATATGTGAAAAATTGATAATAAATAAAAATAACAAATTAGATGCAAGCGTTAATAATGGCATAGCTGATGTCCTCGGTCACACCCCAAATGGGCCAAGTGTTTGTGCTGACAGCAAAATTGCAAACGAGACCCTGGTTCATGGAGTTGTCGAGAGCACCAGTGAGACACATTCCGATAAACATACTGAAATTGACAGTAGTGATAATAATGTTAACAGTGTTAGTGACAGTGTCGATAAGTTTACCGTAAACACGAGTGATGAGTGCAGTAAAAACGTAATTAACTCCAAAACGGACATTAATAGTGACGAGAATGTTATAAATAATAAAATAGTAAATAAAAGTGCCCCGGCTAGTGAGAGTGCTGGTAAGCCTGCTGGTGTCCGTACACGGAGGGGCCGCCCTGTGGGTTCCGGAGCCCCCGTCGTCCGCGTGAGCACAGACTCAGCTGACAGCGGGACTGATTCAGCAAGTGAAGTCAGTCTCCGATCAACCATTGATTATGGAAGGAAGATGTAAGTACAATTCCTATTATTTACATTGTCATTACCACCACTACCTAGGGACATGAGCTCTAAGTCTCAATTTTAGAGTATAACGGCTGCCGCATCATCATCAAGCCGAAATACATGATTTCTTCACAACAGAGATAGGCAGAGTATTGGTACCTACCGAAGCGGGATTAGGAGCCCTATCACCAGTTATAACGCAAATTATAACATTTGCGGGTTCGATTTTTATTATAAAACTAGCGACCCGCCCTCGCTTCGCTTCGGAGTCCCGCGATGTTATCCGCGGTTATTGTCGTACCGCGGGTGACGCCGCGGGGCGAAGCTAATCTAAAAAAAGTAAGCTAAGCTACTCCTTATATCATCAGCTACCTATCGGTGAAAGTCCCATCAAAATCGGTCCAGCTGTTCCAGAGATTAGCCGGAACAAACAGACAGACAGACAGAAGGACAGACAAAAATTGTAAAAAATGTTATTTTGGTGTACGTACCGTATATAAATTCATATGCATGCAGTAAAAAACGGTTATTACAATATTACAAACAGACACTCCAATTTTATTTATATTTATAGATTTTGTTCCTTCATCGTAGAAGTCATTAAGACAGTAAGACAGTTGAACTAAAAATAAGTCAGCCATCATTGCGGAGTCCACGAGGCCTCGGCAGGACTGATCCACAAAAGCCACAATTTGTTCCACAGAGGCACAGCTCACGTCGAACCCGACAAACAGGACATTGAGGAGTTGCTAACCAACTACCAGATCGTGAAATCGAAGCCGCGGCGCCTGGCCAGCCCGCCGCCCCCCGCGCCCCACCCCGCCGACGACGTGCAAGAAGTCCCGGTACACAGTGCCAAGCTTAAGGAAAAGGATCCGGTGTATATAGAGATAGCCGTGGGACAAGGTAGGGCTCCGAGCTGATGGTAGCGTCGCGGGGACTCCCCGAGGTACCCACAGACCTTGAGGCATGAGGCCGGAGTTTCAATTGTGTGCCCCACCCTTCAAATTGGCACGCGTGCCTGTTTCCCGGCATAGGGGTCATAATGGTCCCTACTCAAGCAGGCTTAACACTAAACATACCATAGCGGGTCAAATGACCAATTTTGAACTTTTGCATTGAAAATGCACATAATATCATCTTATGGCTTTTTTACGTTTGACTCCATGACTTTTCTTAACAATTAATCTACAGCAATTATATTTTTATTTGTGTATTTTAAGTTATATTTGTCGAGCTACCGTTATATACACGCTATGGTAGAAATATATATCAGTAAGTAATGGTATGATTAGTGTTAAACAATGGTAAAGCTGAACCGCTTAGGGGGGGCGCACCGTATACTGGACTCCCCAGTGTCCCTCCCATGTGGGGCGGCCCCCGGACGCACAGACACACATAGACTAGCCGCGTGCAGTAGATGAGGGCGAGCGTGTTGGTGTTGACAGAGGGCGCGGCGCGCAGCGACTGTCTGCTGGTGATGGAGAGCGTGCAGGTAGAGCTCGACCCGGCCGCGCTCATGCTGCCGGACCGCGACGACGACTGCGCCAACAGGTAAACGTGCACTGTCTATAGTACTGATGTAGCGAGCAATGACAGTAGTGTGGTCCGGGTATCGTCACCAGATCGTCCAGGGTCGGTCCCCACGTGACGGAGGCCCGCACCACGCGACGAGCTCGACTGTCGTTCTTCTTTGTTGGACTGTATCTTCTGGATGAACAGGCATCAAATTGAGTGCCGTTGTAATCTCGATTTCATTGTACATTGACCAGAACTCACACTTTTATTACTTAGTTGGGTGGACGAGCTCACAGCCCACCTGGTGTTAAGTGGTTACTGGAGCCCATAGACATCTACAACGTAAATGCGCCACCCACCTTGAGATATAAGTACCCTTCAAACCGAAACGCATTACTGCTTCACCGCAGAAATAGTCAGGGTGGTGGTACCTACCCGCGCGGACTCACAAGAGGTCCTACCACCAGTAAGAACAAGAGGTCATACCACCAGTAACACAAGAGTTTCACAATATAACAGTAGTGTAGTCCGGGCTCCGTCACCAGATCGTCCAGGGTCGGTCTCCTCGGGACGAAGACCCACCACACGACTAATTTGACCATTGTGACACTCTGAGTTCATGTCCTGACTAGGGTGCCGGACTGTCTTTTTTGTTTATTGGACTGTATCCTCTGGATGAACAGGAATCAAATTAAATACCATTGGAATCTCGATTTCATTGTACATCGACCGAAAACAGGACTCACAATACTCTTTTAAATTGATCGATTGATTGATTTAGTTATTTTTGAAGTGAAACTTCTTTATCGACGTAGGGAGGAAAAAACGTATGTAACGTTTTTCGGTTACGCGCCATTAATTATTTCCGTTACGCGCCATGTTTATTTTATTTCTGTTTAGTTTGTTATCGACAGATGTCGCTGCACGTAAATTCAACAATTCCAAGGCGGTTCCCCCAGGGTGAGGCTGCGTCATTGCACTGAGGAGTGGTTGACCCTTGCGATTACTTTTTTCTAATGGTTTATATTTGCGTTCAGCAGCAAGGAGGACCCGATCAGCCTGTTGACGTCGAGCGACGAGGACGACGTCATAATCCAGGAGCCGAAGATCGACACCGTCGAGCTCTCCTCGGAGACGGACGAGGACGACGTCCCCCTGGTCCGGCTGGCGCGGCCCGGCAGCCCCGATAACCTGGCGCGCATCTTCTGGGGCGTCTACCGAAACTACTGTCTGCAGTGCAAGTACAGCGCTGCCGACGAGCTGGACTACCGGCGGCACGTGCGCGCGCACCAGACCGTCCTGCACGTGTGCCACACGTGCGGCTACACCACCGCCTCCAGGCCGCAGCTGGAGCGCCACTCGCGCAAGCACGCAGCCGACAAAAAGTTCAAGTGCCACCTGTGCGACTTCAAGGCGAAACACCACATGAGCCTCATCTACCACATGAAGAGCCACTCCAAAACCAAGGTACTGGATCTCGACGAAAACGAGGGTAGGAAGAAGCGGAGGTACTCGTGTCTGGAGTGCACTTACTCCACGGATCGCTGGTCTGATCTGAACAGACATCGCAGCCGTAGACACCCGCCCAGCGATACAGATGACGACTGCCAACCGAAATAAACGTTTTGTGGCGATGAGAGGGTTTCACTGATATACTTTACCGATGGTAGGACGTCTTGTGAGTCCGTGCGGGTAGTTACCACCACCCTGCCGTGAAGCAGCGGCTTGGCTCTGCCCCTGGCATTGCTGAAGTCCATGGGCGACGGTAACCACTCACCATCAGGTGGGCCGTATGATAGTCTGCCTACAAGAGCAATAAAAAAAAACAGTAATGAGTTTTAAAGGGTGGGGCAGCCGTTGTAACTATACTGAAACCTTAGAACTTATATCTCAAGGTGGGTGGCGCATTTACGTTGTAGATTTCTATGGGCTCCAGTAAAAACTTAATACCAGATGGGCTGTGAGCTCGTCCACCCATATAAGCAATAAAAAAAAAACATTGCCCAGACTCGGTGACGATGTGAGGGAGTGAGGCAAGGGTCGAGCGTCCAGACCTCAAGGCAATTAACGTATCCCATCGATTAGTACAGGTGCTAGGAGTTTCAGGGTCTCAAATGCGGGCTGTTTCAAGATAGTATTATAACATTAGTGCTGTGATGCCCATGAGCCTAATTAATATTAATTAATATTACCATTAATACCAGGTGAGCTGATCTGGTCAAATATCTTAATAGGGCTCTGTGCCGCCCTCACCGTCCCCAGCGAGACACAAGCCTCACAATTTACTCCACTGAGCCTGACCTTCGATTTTCATCCATTTCTGGTTCATAGAAATAAAACATCTGATAATTTACAACATTTTTAATATAATATACAACTTTATATACATAGCCTTACATTAAAGCCACTGATGCTAGCACAGCAGTGTGTACTCGTGAGCATATCTGAGCAACAATGAGTATTCACTTAACCAGTCACTGCGACTAAACATCAGTTCCCACAATACATGGTCGTTCTCTTATTACATATTTACTATTTACAATTAGACATTAAAATATTTGTCCATGTGGCATCACCTGATCTTTCAACAGTCTGTGGAGTCATTGCATGTTAAGCATTTCCAAATCCCTACATCAATATATGTATTAAGGTAGCCAGTGAAGTATCAATGATGATTTTATTTGAAAAGCTGATGCTTTTAGTGCGGTCCTGTACCTATTGTTACCTGTACGAGTTATCCTTAATAATACATATCTAATTGAGTTCAACAATATTAGTGATCTCCTTTTGTTTTGTGGAAGTCGGTTTTCTTTTATTAAAAAAAAAACACGTGTGGCACTCGGGGACTGCCGCGGTAAAACTATTGCATAGCATTTTTTATCAACTTATGCAATTATAAATAGACAATAATAATTTAATATTAAAACAATAATAATAAAATAAGACCACGCCATATTTATAAACAAAAGCAAAACATTAACTGTCCCCTTCACACTCGTAAGCTAGACCGCGCGAGAGAGAGATGGGCAGACTTTTCATGATGCACATGCAGTGTGACGTCACGCCGCGCGCTTATTCACAAACACTACACAAGCGCAACGTGTGAATATGTTGAACGCGAGCTACATGGTAGGCGGAGTGGGGGGTGTTAGGTTTTATTTTCGCTACGGAATTTCTTGATTCGGTCGCCGCGCTCAAAGCCCGCGATAAAAGCTATGCAATAACTTAAAACACCGCAGTCACGTGGCTACTAAAACACTTCACTCGAACGAATCAAGGTTACACAGATAACGGTATTTTAATGGTAAATTTAACGGTAGGCAGCGGCTTGGCTCTGCCCCTGACATTGCTGTAGTCCATGAGCGACGGTAATCACCCACCATCAAGTTAGCCGTACGCTCGTCTGCCTACTAGGGCAATTAAAAAAAAAGAGACATGATCACGTAAGTAATTGTTATTAATAAAAACTAATCTATGTCCCTGTTTCGCCGACATTAAACAACGAAATATGTACCGTACACTTTTATACTTTTTGTGTTTGGTTTTACAACCAACAAACATCACCGGATTTAAATTTTTAATTTTTTTATTGATTAAGGTGGATGGACGAGCTCACAGCCCACCTGGTGTTAAGTGGTCACTGGAGCCCATAGACGTCTACAACGTAAATGCGCCACCCACCTTGAGATATGAGTTCTAAGGTCTCAGTATAATTACAACGGCTGCCCCACCCTTCAAACCAGAACTAGGCAGGGTGGTGGTACCTACCTGTGCGGATTCACAAGAGGTCCTACCACCAGTAATATAAATATACAGACGTTTGTTAATTACAATATTCGGACAAGCTGTATGTAAACGTTCGTGAGTGGAGGGCGACTCTTGACACTTACCAACAAGTGGGTCGTGAGCTCACCCACCCATCTCGTATTATTCTATTTAATCAGGAAGAGTAATTCGACCCTGTCGTAATCCGGATAGTAATAGTAGTTCTATTTTTCTAACTGAAAAGGCAAAGGTATCTATCATACCATTCAGCCTAACCTTTTTTTAAATGAAATATGATAATATTGAATTCGCATAAAATAAAATGAAATGAGATCAGATGATATGGGATGAAATATAATCTCAGTAAAATGGTAGTTATTTACTGAGACTTTCAGTGGACTTTTCAAAAGATCCCGAGAAGTTACTTCCAGCTTCGTTTCTTTTTCCTACATTTGTGCACTTTCACAGATATTAAACAGTTAATAAACCACCGTTATTACACATTTAAACCTAAACAAACACTAAATACACAAAATAAAACAAATCACACAACTTCACTCCTCGCGTTCCCGCCAAAGAGTTCATAACTCGGATGAAGAGAAATCGTAATTGGTGTTTTTCTTCTATTAGTTGGCAAAGGGTTTCTTAATATGGTAATTTACTCCAGCTTTAAGAACAATAACTTTTATCTTGTACAAAATAGTTTCCATTAAACTATAGAGGGTAGAGGTAAGGAGAATCGTCTCATATGGGAGAAGCTTGAAAAAGTGTCCCAATTTCAATACTAAATAACAGTTCAAAAATCGTCCAGAATGGCGCTAGCATAGGCACAGGGTATGATATGAATTGAGCAGTTGTTAACTGATTGAAGTATGCTGAGTTAGAAAATTTAATGACTAGAGTAATATTAGTGACAGTGTAATATACAAGACCTCACATGTTTACGTAGTCCAAACCAATTTCGTAAATATAACCTAAAATTATTGCTGTGGTAAAACGTGGAGACATAGATTGCATTTTCTTATCAGCTTTAAATAAAATGCTTTTTGTGATTTTGTAGTGCTTACAGTTTTTCGTCCTTTTCTATTTCTCTATCTTATTCTAATTACTTTCAGCGCCTTTTTTAAAATTTACCCGGTTGCTACTGTAGCGCCATCCTTATTTAGCAGATTTTAACGGACACTTTTTCACACACAGACTGTTCTCTCTAGAGAGAGGTCTCTCCTTCCATACATTGAACGTAATAACATAATTAACCTCAAATAGCAGTCAGCTTGAAACATTGGCTCCCAAATAGTGAGAGGTACTCACATATGTGCATATTAGTTTAAAGTAATTTAAAATCAAGGGGTGAAAGATTATTTGGTTTAAGCAACATTTTTGCAACTTCACAAGACAGCCATTTAAAGGATAAAATATAAAAACAAATTTCTTTAACTATTTGAATGCAGTAAACATAATTGAAGTTCAATTAAAAATATCGAACTATTAATACTAATCCTATCCTCCTATCAATAAACTCGAAAGTTTGTAAGAACATATGGATGTATGTTTGTTACTCTTTCACGCAAAAACTACTGAATGGATTTTGATGAAACTTTACAATAATATAGCTTACACATCAGAATAACACATAGGCTATAATTTATAAAGATATAGTGTTAATTACCCAAAATATAACAATAAGTGTCAAGTAAGAAGGAAAAAAATCTGAGAGCCATTTTGGCGTGCCCTGCTAGTACTAAGTTTTTTTTTGTTTATTATTGCTTATATGGATTGTTAAGTGGTTACTGGAGCCCATAGACATCTACAACGTAAATGCCGCCATCGACCTCGAGACACGAGTTCTAAGGTCTCAGTATAGTTACAACGGCTGCCCCGCCCTGCAAACCGAAACGCATTACTGCTTCACGGCGGAAATAGGCAGGGCGGTGGTACCTACCCGCGCGGACTCACAAGACGACCACCGGTACAAAGTAAACCAGTAAAATTACAAAGATTAGTTATTGGTAAAAAAAAAATTTCCTACCTAAGCTTAACTAGTAGATGAGCTCACGGGGCTCAAACTTGACGAGTCGCTTAAACTAAATAACCTTTTACCCCTCAATATGTTTTCTACTCGCCACGTGTCTCCCAACACCAAACCCAACGACCTCAACTCCCAACATCAGAGTCATAAAACGCCTTTACATCCTCACTGGGGCTCTGGGGGCGTCTGGTTGTGCTTGTGCCGGTGTCGCTGGCGGCGGCAAGTGGTCGCGGCTCAGAACACGCGGTCCTGGTAGCCGGAGTCGAGGGGCGGCTTGGCGGGCGGCGCGGCGTGGTGGTGGTGGCGCAGGTGGGCGGGGCGCCGCGGGGGGGCGAGGTACTCGAACATGCTCTGCGTGTGCTGCGCGAGCATGTTGCCGAGGTCGCACGGCATGGGGTCCGTCCAGAAGAAGTCGTGGTTAAGGGCCGTGTCCGCGTCATAGCTGCAACCAAACAACAAGAGCTTAGCCCGACAACAAACATTATATATACTGTCTGTTCGCATTAAAAGTGTACAATTTCCTAAAATATTCGAAATTGAGTTAATATACGTAAACATTTGGTATCACCAGCATTTTTCTCAAAAGAGGGTAGTCGTTTTTTTTTTAGTTTACCTATATTTTGACTACTATTAACAAAAGTAATACATAATTTTATCTTAATGTAAAGACAGATAATGTGACCGGTAAAAAAAATATGTTGCAAAGATGATTAATATTAAAAACTAGCTGACCCGGCAGACTTTGTAGGGCCTCAATCTATAAATAAAATACCTAAACTTTTGTATAAAATAAACTTAAAACAAACAAAATGAATCCGTCCGACGGGGGACGCATCAAAGAAAAAAACAAATTTGTTATTTTTATTTAATTCCGAGTATTTTCATATTTATTTACCTTTTAAACCTTCTCTGGACTTCCACGAATAATTCAAGACCAAAATTAGCCAAATCGGTCCAGCCGTTCTCGAGTTTTAGCGAGACTAACGAACAGCAATTCATTTATATATATAGATTAGATTGAGTTAATATGCGGAATCATTTGGTACAAGCGAATATACCATCCCATTTTTGTTTTGTTTTTTTATTGCTTAGACGGCTGAATGAACTCACAGCCCACCTGGTGTTAAGTGGTTACTGGAGCCAATAGACATCTACAACGTAAATGCGCCACCCACCTTGAGATATAAGTTCTAAGGTCTCGAGTATAGTTACAACGGCTGCCCCGCCCTTCAAACCGAAACGCATTACTGCTTCACGGCAGAAATAGACAGGATGGTGGTACCTACCCGTGCGGACTCACAAGAGGTCCTATCACCGGTAAAACCAGTTTCTTGTCTATCAACAATTAACATTAATAGAATAAATTCCTTGTAGAAATTGTAAGCTGGAAGTAAACTATTATACATACCGCTTGGCAGGATCTAACTGCAGCAGTTTGTCCAATAAGTCACAGCCGTAAGGATCCTTCACATATGGTTTCAGTCTTTCCTGTGTTTATATATAAATCTTAATTAGTATATAAGAGATGCTAGAATGAATATATACAGTATGCAGTGGAGAGAGAGCGGCATAGATGGGAGAATAAGTTCACATATTGGCCCACTGGACCAAACATCAAAATGTTCTCAACAGCTATCAGGAGATATGAGATCTGTGTCTCAATAGTATTATGGGGCAGTGTGTTGAATGTTGATTTTTAATATCATCTTGAAATGTGTGTTACTGGACATACGATTAAAAAACAAAACTTTTTTTTTTTTTAAATGAGTATATCTTATTTCCACAATGCAATTGAGCACATAGGTACCCTGTTTCTAACCAAACAGCTCTACTGAGCCAATAGATATAAAAATCTCAATGATTAAATTCCATATTCACCTTGACTTTCCTCTTTTGACCCTTTGGCAGCTCCATTTTGTTGTAAAGATCCAAGTTCTCCACTCCGGGCCAGACATCAGGTGTACAGGAACCGCACAGCTGCGATATTAATATCAGCTGCTGCTGTTCTGTCGGACCCTGAAATATTACATTTCTAATCAAAGACCCATTGTAGATAAGAATTTTTTTTAACTGCTGATCTGTGGTGTATCTTCTGTCTTTCTGGAGCCTCAGCCTGTTAGTCTGTCATTTCTAAAACTATTCTATACATATTCTAAAAATAATAACATAAATATCTACAAAATATACAATTACAATAAAATTAATCAATTTGAAAAGAAATAATTCGTAGATTTTGTGACTCATTGTAAACCTTTATCTATAAACATCATTGAACCAATAAGTCTATACAATAATACTCCATTAAATTTGGGGTTTATGGCATATAATTTGTGATCATTATAAAATTGCAAGTTTATTATTGAATAAACTCAATAGAGGGTTTGGTATTTTATGCTTTCCCATTACAAGAGCAGTGATTTTTGACTAGATAACACAAAAACTTATTACTGCATTTTTAAGCAAGGGCCCTGCATCTATTTCCTTTGTCTAGATTTGCAAAAAAAACTAGATTAAACTGTAAAAGTAGTTTTAATCAGGTCGGTATCTTTGAAAAGTTTCAAACCTGCATGATCGGGGAGCGAGTCCACATTTCAGCCATGATACATCCGGCTCCCCACATGTCCACTGGTGGACCGTAGTTACGGTCACCTTTAATTAAATGAGGCATGTTAAATCTGATACAACACACCACAGCTCATTTTTCATATATTTTTCTAAATGAGCAGACAAAGACAACTCACTATTACATGTTATTAAATGTTAGAGTTATAAGTTATTCAAAATCACTCCCACTATAAAAGATAACATAACACTTGTCTCCTTTAAACTAAAATGTATGACTGCTTCAATGTTTTAGATAAAAAAAAAATTGTTCTTGTAGGCAGATGAGCAGAAGGCTCATCTGATGGTGAGTGGTTGTAGCTTATGAACGTCAGCAATACTAGGAGCAAAGCCAAGCCGTTGCCTACCGTTAAGTACTCTCCACAAGCCTCGTTTGAAGAAAGACATGACGACAGACAGGCTCTCGGGAAACATCATGGAGGGGAGCTTACTTCAAGGCCTTACTACTTAGCAACAGGAGTTAGTAGAATAATGGTGCCCACTCATCCAAGCTCAATTTGTCTTATTACCAGAAATTATGGTTTACATAAAAAAACACTGTTCATTAATAAATAATATGTTTTAAAAACTCACCTAACAGCAATTCTGGAGGCCTATACCACAAAGTAACANCTCGGGAAACATCATGGAGGGGAGCTTACTTCAAGGCCTTACTACTTAGCAACAGGAGTTAGTAGAATAATGGTGCCCACTCATCCAAGCTCAATTTGTCTTATTACCAGAAATTATGGTTTACATAAAAAAACACTGTTCATTAATAAATAATATGTTTTAAAAACTCACCTAACAGCAATTCTGGAGGCCTATACCACAAAGTAACAACACGATTAGTATATTTATTGGCTTGTCCAGACTTTGCGACGCTGAATGCTCGAGCAAGTCCAAAGTCAGCCAGTTTTAATGTTCCATTCTTTGTTATTAGTACATTGGCAGCCTTCATGTCTCTGTGGAGTATTTTGTTGCTGTGTATGTAATAAAGTCCGTTCAGTAATTGTTGCATGACTTTTTTTATTTCGCCGAGACTGAACTTAACATTCACGTTCGATAGCAGGCCAGCTAGATCGTGTTCGCAGAAGTCGAACACCAAATAGAAAGTGGAACGGTATTTATTGTGAACCGTAGCCTTCGTGCGGCATATTTCTATCAAGTTTACAACGTTTTCGTGTTTTAAGAGCTGCAAGATCTTTATTTCCCGCAGAGCCGTGATCGGGAAACCCTCTTTTTCATTGTCCATTAAGACTTTTTTCATGGCAACAAACTTTTTGCTACTGTTTCTCGCGCGCGCTTTGAACACTTCACCGAAGGTTCCTTGTCCGATTTTAGCTACTTTTTCGTATTTGGAAGACTCGTCGCAGAAGGGAAAGTCGAATTCCTCTATGTATTTCTCCTTTTCCCTCATGTTTAATATAGTTGAAGTTGTGCTTAAAACTGGTTGCGTGGGCTCCCGCGGAGCACTCACGCTTTGCATTTTGGACGTAATTTTGGCGGTTTTCAACGAACTTTTAGTATGAATATGATATTTTTAATTGTATTGTAGACAAAGCTTTTCAAAAATTTCACATTAATTATGTTTTCACTTGGAAACGGCGAAATTTATTGATACCCTATCAGCAAAATCACAATAGGAAGAAGTGAAATGCAACACTGACTGTCACTGACTGAAGACTGTGACACTAATTAAAACGTCAACTGTCAATATCAATTTTTATTTTTTATTTATTGAATACGCAAAGAAAAGAGCCCAAATCAAAATGCTTTGTACCAAAGGCCAACGCCCACGATATCTGTTGCTTAAAAAGTGAAGTAGAGTTGATTGAGGATTGGAATTAAATTAAATTAGATGTTGTTGATGGGCAGGTCCCCTTGCGCTGGTCAGACCAAATCCGTACCGCAAAGACACTATCGTATTTGAGGTCATCCATAGCGTCGAGAATATATCGACGTATGGCGTAAGATAATCTACCGGAAGATTCTGAAATCCCATAGACCCACAGCATTGAAGATTTACGACGCAAGGAGGAGGAGGAGATGTTGTTAATACGTAAAATAAAACTTCGTCAATAAAATTGTCAGATGGCTAGAAATGAAACACACATTAAAATTATGTAATTTACTGGAAAAAGAAAAGTTTGTAAGAACTTGAAAAGTCATACCCAGTGACTATTTCAAATATTTATGAGGTTTCGCATAACGTTAAACGGTAAAATAGGCCGCGATTATTACATTTATTTTAGAATAAAACTACCTATTGATCTACTCATTTAACTTGGCTGAATATGTAACGAAAAAGTTATTTTAACAATAAAATAAACATCATTATGTATGTACTGCTTTTCTTTGAATGCTATTCAGATTACCGTTATTTCTGTTAAAAAATTAATTAATTTATAGTGTTTCTAAAATAAATAAGAATACAAAAAATCGACTAAAACGAAAGTATTGCTTGTAAGACATCTAAAATTGGTAAACTGTGAGATTATAGGTTTTGGTGTCAATGACCCATAACGTTGACATGAAAACGAATAAAGAGAAACGTCAATGTGTCATCGGAATTGATTTTTGTTTTTGTTACAAAAAGTTACACATTCACAACAATAGTAAAAGACGCTTCAAGGTAAATAACGCAATATTATACTAAAATTTGATTAAACTAAAATTTAATTGAGTTTAATACCTAAGCGCTTCGTGACAGAATTACTAAAGTAGGCCGACAAAGAGTGATTTCTTAAAAAAGTTTTATAAATTCTCTTCTTTTTTTTTTATTTATTTTTTTATGATTGAAACTTTACTGGTGGCCCGAAGGCCTTTCCTGTTTCACCAGGACAGGTGGGCGAGCAAAGGCTCAGCCAAGAGGGGCGGGATTTGCTAACAACTGCTCGAGCGCCTCCGAAGGAGACCTAACAACTCAAGAGCAATTGCTTCGCGAATGAATCTACTACCGGATCGGAATCGCGGAATCGCTGATGCATGGAAAATTCTTTCTATCACTGCGTGTGCCGTTGATAAAACTATATGGACTAATACGAACACTAGTTATACGCCCATTTAAATTTACTGTAAATATATTTGAATAACTTTGGCATATTATATCTATCTATCTATCTATCTCTTAGGTTTATGGCGTTTCCTTTTAGATTTCGCCAATGTCAAGTGTATTTAATACTCTGCTTTCTATAGCGGGCTTCGTGAACGAGCAAGGTCACAGATATTCACTAAGAATTAAGTGAGTAGCTAAGAATGTTTGATGACAGGATCTCTGTTGATTTACCTAAAACAAATAAGACGCACACAATATATATACAGGGGTTAGTTCGATAAAAGACAGACAAACTACAGTTTAATGTTATTTTGGTTAATGAATGAACTAAGAATATAAACGAAAGGGGAGTTGACAAGGGAAAGAAGAGATTTGAGATCAATGGGGCGAGGAATATCAGGAGGAAGGAGATCATAGAGGGAGGAAGATAGACGAGGNTAACTACTACATGAATTAATATAATTCAAAATTTTTATGAATATTAGATATTTAAATATTAAAATTGATATTTATTATGTCTGTAAATTATCTTGAAATATTTTAAACATTTAATTTTGAACTTATCATGTTACAAAAGTTTCTTGTAAAAAAATATGAGAATTTGCATAAATAGCTGCTACATAATATTTTCAGAAGTGACTGAAAAGGCCCAGGAGATTGCTATAAATAAATTACATTTAATAAAAATATTTTAATTAAATTTATTATGATTTTCCAACAAATGATACATTGATTATGAAAATTGTTAAAAAGGTAACAAATAGTTCTTATCATTCTATACTCCCTCAATTGCAGGAAAATACATAGTAAAAATAACAATTATGCTCTAGCACTGTAACTTACATAAAAATATAACTGACCAAAAAAAAAAAAAACCAATGGAGTTTAAAATTATAAAATTAGCTCAAATAAAAAGTATATATAGAATATATAGAAATATACATTTGATTTGAAATCCATAGGCCTTCAAAATAAATAAAAAAATTGTGAAAAAAATTTACTATTATTATTTGTTTTTCAAAATAATGACGTTATGAAAATCTGAATATTCCAGACAAAATGGCCAGTGAAAGCAGTTCAGCAATGCTGGACATGACAGACGCTGACTCCGACGATATGGACATGCCGACTCTCATGGACGATCAAGAGCCATCACCGCTCATCATGGAGCACGGCTATGACATTGCAATTAAGGCAAGTACACCCAAATTGATTTTACAGTCCTGTTTTTAGCTACTTGATGGCTTATATGTTGCCATGCTTATGTGTATGCCAATACATACACTATTGCCATGATAAGTATTTCTTATTATATATATACTCTTATACAGGGTGTCCCAGAAAGAATGGATAATCCTGAAACACCTCATATTAGAGCTATTGGGGACTCAAATAAAAAAAATATTTCTTATGTAGTACCCAAATTAAAAATAAAGAAAAAATACCAAATTTCATTCAGATTAACTTTTATAAAAAATTACACTAGCTACTCATAGGTTTTTTTTTATAGCTTTGATGCGTGGACGAGCTCGCGGCCCACCTTAACTGGTTACGGGAGCCCATAGACATCTACAACATAAATGCGCCACCCACCTTGAGATTTAAGTTCTAAGGTCTCAGTATAGTTACAACGGCTGCCCCACCCTTCAAACCGAAACGCATTACTGCTTCACGACAGAAATAGGCGGGGTAGTGGTACCTACCGGTGCGGACTCACAAGAGGTCCTACCACCAGTAAAAACTGCTGAAAATCAGCTACGAAATTTGATTTAGAATTAGATTAGACAGCGTTTTACGGAATATGTTATGGTGTGTTGACTCGTGGCTTGGTGTTGCAGGTCGATGCCCCCATAAAACAGCTGTCGACCCTCGAGACGTATGTGACGTACCGGGTGCGCTGCGTGTGCGCGCGGTGGCCGACCCCGCCCAGCGTGAGGCGACGGTACAATCACTTTAAGGTTAGCCTGATTCATGCATCCGATGTCTCAAGCTAGTGTGAAGAACTCTCATATTATGTCCTTTTTTTCAATGAGATTTGTATATATATTTTTTCCTATCTATGCTGATAGCCTTGAGAGACCATATCAGCGTTACCGGACGAGTAGATGAGTTCACGGGGCTCAAACCTGGCGAAGTTGCTAATACTGACCCTAGCAAGAGCAGTGCTTCGCAGAATCTACCACCGGATCGGAAACGTGACCCACTAAGAAGATCCCGCGAGAAACTCAGTGGGCTGTTCCTGTGGGGTAATTTACTTGCCGAACCCTTTGTCGCAAGCGGTGGGTTTGACGAGAACGATGGTCTGTGGTGATGATGTCAGTGGATCGGGAGGATCCGTAATGACGTGTTTTGGGCGACGTCGACTGTTTACCATTCGGTCTGCAGGATTGGGAATGATTTGTATAGAGATCTCAGCGCCACTTAGTAGACCTGACGAACAAGCGACGGAGCACTCACGACCACAGTAGAGGTCAGCATGCTCTGGGTAGTTCAGATCGCGTGCAGGGCGTGGCGGCTTGCAGGTGCTGCACAAGCGGCTGTCGGCGGCGCACCCCCTCACCGCGGCGCCCCCCGCCCCCCCGCTGCACTCCGCGCGCCAGCAGCTCGACAGATACTCGGCGTCGTTTGTCGCCATAAGGACCTTAGCCCTGAACGCGTTTCTAGGTGAGGAGACAATGATAAAGGATATTATAAGGATATTAAAACTATAGAGGGTAGAGAAGTAGGGGAACACCAGCTCAGTGTATTAAAAAGCGTCCCGTGTAAGGGAGTAAATTAGGTGGCGCCACAGGAGCAAGTGGAGAGGTTAAAAACAGCGCCATAAGCTATCACAGTTCACTTCAACCTGCGCACATCTCTGTTTAAAACTGTTATATTCATATCATTCCCCCTTCCTACATTAGCGCTATGTCGGTGAGTCTTCCAACAACAACGCGCTGCTTACTGACGGACACTTATCAACTTGTCCCCTATACATAATGGCGCTCCTTCCATCCGTACTACCTGGAGCCACTGCGGTCATCGACAGTGCGTTTCCAGAAATCTTTTTTGCCACGTACCATCCGGCTTTGTAATGAGCTCCCCTCCACGGTGTTTCCCGAGCGCTATGACATGTCCTTCTTTAAACGGGGCTTGTGGAGAGTACTTAACGGTAGGCAGCTGCTTGGCTCTGCCCCTGGCATTGCTGAAGTCCATGGGCGACGGTAACCACTCACCATCAGGTTGGCCGTATGCTCGTCTGCCTACAAGGGCAATAAAAAACAAATCTACCCTCCTAATTGAAATCAGAAGGCTTTATAAATCTTATTTATTTATTTATTGCATATATGGGTGGATACGCTCACAGCCCGTTTAGTTTTTCTTGTTTACCGGTCATCACTGTGAATGTTACCACCTTGCCATGTGCTTGAGACATGATTTAATTCTTAGTTGTATAATATAACTGCTGCCCCACCCTCCAAACTGGAATTAATAACAGTTTCCCGGTAAAACTTGGCAGCTTGGTGTTATTTATTTATTTATTCAGGACACACCAACACCAATACACACAAAGCATTCAAGCTTAAAATTAACATGTATAAATTTAAGTACGGATATATAAGCCAGTTACAGGCATGTACAACAATCTCTTATAACAACACTATGACATGTTACAGCAATTTTACAAGCAAGGAAAAAATAGGTTAAATTTAAATGTTAACAGTATGAAAACAAGAGTTACATTACTACTTAACATTCTCTTATAAACTATAAAGAATTTAAGAAGTTATCAAGTAATAGACGTTAGAGGCAAACAAATATCTACTTTATATACTGTTGTTACGGTCGCAACTTGCATGTCAGACGTCTAGTCGCGATAGATACGTCTCAGCCTGACTGTACCTGGTTGCCAACAGATCGCATCGCCAAACATCCGATCCTGACACACAGCGAAGACTTCAGATTGTTTCTGACCACGCCAGATGAGGAAATCGATAAGGTGAGGAGGACAGGGGCGTACGGCCCCCAGGCCTCTGGGACTCTACTTGGGTACTGGGAGAGCTATGCGCATGCTCTTTTTTAATACGCTTTCATTAGCTTCAGACGTATGTATGTCAGTATGTAACGGAATCTTTGAACATGATTTGGACCCCCTTCAAAACGTCGGATTAACTCGAAATTTGGCATACTTATTAAGGATCGATGACAATTCAATATTTAAAAAAAATATATGAAAAGAATAAATAATAGTTTAAAAAAACAAAAAATACGCTTTTATAGAAAATCGAACTAAAAAATAGAAAATAAACTTTAATAAATTTGAATTAAAAATAGTGTAAGATCAAATTATTTTATTGTAAAAAAGCGTGGGGAGATTTTTTGGATAATATCCTATTATATTAGGATTTCAACTTGGGACACGTCATCGAACGAGGATACCTGTACTCCTCCCTTCCCCTGACTCTGGGAGCCGGCGATTGATATACACAATTATATACATATAAATATATGTGAATATTAAAGACCCAGACAGCAGACACATTTATCCATCACAGAAATGTTTGGCTGATGTGAGAATTGAAACGACGACATTCAACCCTGACTACTGCCAATACCAGTCCTGCATCAGCTCTACTGGTCCTCGGATTTGGAATCCACTATGATTCGCAGTAAACGGCGGGGGGTTGGGGGAGGGGGGGGGGTAGTGGTGCGAACCCACAGCATCGACCCTTCATTGTTGCAATAAATATGTTGTCGACAGGTGTTCCGGAGTGAGAATAACGCGTTGAATCTGTGGGGGCTGGGCAGCGCGCTAGCGTACGGTGGGGACGGGCGTCACTCCAACGGAGTCCGGTGAGGACGGCTGACGTCACTTGTTACCAATAATATCTGCAGGTCCTTGTTACGTGGAGCCGTCCGACGTGGCGGCCCCCACGGTCCCCCACTCCCCTGCCCTTTATTGTTTAGATCGGGGCTAGTTCACAGCCTACCCGGTGTCAAGTGGTTACCGGAGCCCATAGACATCTACAACGTAAATACCGTATATACGCCAATGTATGTACGCCAAAGAAAAAATCCGGTGCCGAATTTTCAAGAGCCACTCAGAATCGTTAAAACATAATCCATAAAACAAAAACCATATTTATTTTTTCCTGTCCACGTTTTGGTGGACCGCGTGGTCACCCTAGGTCGTAAAGAAAACAACGAAATAAAATGTTTAGCGCGGCACTCAAAAATGAACCGTAAATGCATGGTGAGGGGATCGCCGGGTATTTACTGGTGGTAGGACGTCTTGTGAGTCCGCACGGGTAGGCACCACCGCCCTGCCTATTTCTGCCGCGAAGCAGTAATGCGTTTCGGTTTGAAGGGCGGGGCAGCCGCTGTAACTATACTAAGACCTTAGAACTTATGTCTCGAGGTGGGTAGCGCATTTACGTTGTAGATGTCCATGGGCTCCAGTAACCACTTGTAGCGAGCCTGAGTGCGGCCCTGCGCTGGAGTATCGCACTATATATAATATTCGACGGTACTCGCAAAAAGTTTTTCATTCGGTTGAGTTCGAGACAAACATACGCTGGGTGCTCCGCTATTAATTTTATCACGTATTTGATCACTCTTTAATTAAATATAAAATTGTAATTAGTGGTATCGTTTCACTGCAACAAAACCACAGTTGGTGCCACACACTTAACACCAGGTGGGCTGTGAGCTCGTCCACCCACCTGAGCATAAAAAAAAAAACATTTCCAAGATATAGGGTAGTTATCGGTACATCAGGGACCGGACCCCCATCGTGATATAAGAAGCCCCTTCGTAGTCCCCCCGGTCTATTTATTGTGTCCCCCTCTTTTCTCTTGCAGAGTAAAAGATCCCGAGTTTTCATCGGCAGTCGACTACCTGAACGCTCTACAAGACAAGCTGGCCACCCTCTGTGATCTGACCACGAAACTGTACAAGGGGACCGCCGCCCTCGCCGCCGAGTACTCGAGGTACGTGCCCCGGGACACACGGACAGACCACACTTGGACCTGGTCATATTACCAATGGTGGACGAGCTCACAGCCCACCTGGTGTTAAGCGGTTACTGGAGCCCATAGATATCTACAGCGTAAATGTGCCACAAACCTTGAGATATAAGTTCTAAGGGTTCAGTATANACTGTACAAGGGGACCGCCGCCCTCGCCGCCGAGTACTCGAGGTACGTGCCCCGGGACACACGGACAGACCACACTTGGACCTGGTCATATTACCAATGGTGGACGAGCTCACAGCCCACCTGGTGTTAAGCGGTTACTGGAGCCCATAGATATCTACAGCGTAAATGTGCCACAAACCTTGAGATATAAGTTCTAAGGGTTCAGTATAGTTAAAACGGCTGCCCCGCCCTTCAAACCGAAACGTATTACTGCTTCACGGCAGAAATAGGCAGGGTGTCCATGAACAAATTAAAAAATTGTTTTCTTTTCTTTTATATTGGAAGCGAAAACATTAGAGTCCGGAACCCCGCGACCCTCAATGGAATTAAAGTAAGTGATACCGAACCCTCAAATCTGGGCACATAATGGCTGAGCAGCAAAACTGGAGAGTTGGTGTTGCCGACTCAAGACTGTCAATAAAGGAATTTCAAAGGAACCGCCAGCACTGTTGATGTCCATAGGCGACGGTGACAATCCACCATCAGAATTGCCTTTGGTTTTTTTTTCCTACCCAAGCCGATGGCCTTGAGAGGCTATTTCAGCGTAATGTAGTTTAAGTAGTAGGTGAGCTCACGGGGCTCAAACCTGACGACGTTGCTAACACGAACCCTAGCAAGAGCCGTGCTTCGCAGAATCTACCACCGGATCTGAAACGCGACCCACTGAGAAGATCCGGCGAGAAACTCAGTGGGCTGTCTGAGGGTTAATTTACTCGCCGAGCCCTTCGTCGCTTGCGACGGGTTCGATGAGAACGATGACCGATGCTTGAGGTACCTGGAAGCACCGTTAGTAGATCGGGAGTATCCGAAATGACATGTAGCCTTTTGTATCTATTGACTCCAGCATGCAGCGCGTGTGCGACGTGTGGTCGACGCAGTGCGGGGCGCGGTGCGGGGGAACGCAGCGGGGCGTGCGGGGGGTGTCGGCGGGCGCAGGGGCGGCGGGGCAGGCGGCGGGGGGGCGGCCCTCCCCCTCCCACCGCGCCGTGCTGCCCCTGCTGGCCGCCTACGCCGCGGCCCAGGCCGATAAGATAAGGCAGCGGGACAGGATGCACGGTAGGTCTCGTCCCTCAGAACTCTTCGAGAGTAAAGTATCGTGTGTAACTTGTTCTTTAAGTCTTAATTGGTCTCGAGTAGAACTTTAGGGCAATAACTTAATAGAATGTTTATTTATTTATTAAGTTGCACCAACAAAGTGATCATCAATAGAAAACATTGACAAATTGACAGTAAGTACATGGTAGATGTCACCTCAATTATAGGTGCAATAAAACGTGCATTAACAATAAAAATAAAATAAACAATTGTATAACTAAGATTTGATTACATTTGATTGATTGCTTAAGATTAATTTATATTTAATTGGGAAATGATCCGCGACAGATTTTTCCTGTAAGTTGTGAGACAATTAGAAAAAAACATCTATTTCATCACTTAAAATTAGTTCAGCGCAATCGGACAACTCCGATGGAACATTGACGGAGACCGCACTACCGTGGACATTATTGTAATCCCAAAGGAATCTGTTTAAGGGAGCGTAAGCACCTAAATTCGAACGATTGTTATTCTAAGTGAGCCCCTGGTCTGATCCTGAGTAGAACTTTTAGGTCAATAACTTTTATCCTAAAAGTGATCCCATAGACATTTTTACAATCGCACCGACGAGGTGACGGAGCGTTCCAAGAAAAATCGTATGAAGTAAAGCTGGGAAGGGTTCCATGCGGTCCTCGGTGACGTAGGTCCTAGTGTCGCAAGGGAGAAATGGCAGTGGGGGACGCGTCGTACAAAGCACAGCCGCTGGGTAGGCCCCCCAGGGGGGACCGTGCCCTACGCATGCTGGCCCCTCCCACGGCGGACCTTGTGAAAGGATTCGCTGGTCTCTGCTCAAAGCTTGACGGATGAACGAATAGACAGTCTTCCTGGTGTTAAGCGTCTATCGGAATTTATAAAGCTTGAGACAAGAGTTCTAAAGTCTCAATTGTAACAGTACAACAGTTGCCCCACTCTTCAAACCGAAACGCATTACTGCTTCACGGCAGAAATAAGCGGGGTGGTGGTACCCACCCGTGTGAACATAAAAGACATCCTACCACCAGTAATTATGCAAATAATAATATTTGCGGGTTTGAACCCCGGCACGGTCGGACCTCAATACCCCTCCGACCTTATATCTATTGACGCTTGCGATGTTCGACAGCGGAATACGTGTCGGGGACGGACACCAGCGACGACCTGCAGAACAGGTGAGTGTCTCTTGTTCAATACGAGACTTGTGACTTCATGGTCCACCTCCACCACGATATAAGGGTACTCGAGGTGGAAGTCTGTCGACGTCACCCAACGTACGTCATTTCGGATCCTCCCGATCCACTAACGGTGCTCTTAGGTACCACAAGCACCGATCATCGTTTTCGTCGAACCCGTCGCTTGCGACGAAGGGCTCGGCGAGTGAACTAACCCACAGACACAGCCCACTGAGTTTCTCGCCGGATCCGGATAGGAAAAAAAAGAAAGAAAGGAAGTCTGAATAGTATAGCGCAGCTTCGCGACGAGGACGGCGGGCTGGGGGAGGGGGGTTGGGGGTTCGCTGTCCCGGGACACACCTGGGACTACACCAGACGTGTTATAGCTGGTGCTCTTTAGATACACGACTTAGCTCTAGACTTTTGTTGACGTAACCGAGAATCCCGTAGATAAAGGTGGATTTCACTAGCTGTGTAGAGAAACAAGGTGGGAGTCTTAATAGATTTGAATAATAATTTATAATCGGTCCTGGGATTCCGTTTGGAGCGTGCGCCGGCTCCGTGTGCTTTAACAAACTACACACACCTTGACACGTGAGGCGGGATCGTCCACGCTGAACTGTCCTACCCTCCAGATCTTCTTATTGCCCTTGTAGGCAGACGAGCATACGGCCCACCTGTTGGTGAGTGGTTACCGTCGCCCATGAACTTCAGCAATGCCAGAGACAGAGCCAAGCCGCTGCCTACCGTTAAGATCGGAAGCAAAACGGATTGTGGAGATGATAGTGATTCTACGAATAAGTGTTGAGCAGCAGTGGCGCCGGGACCCGGATAGGTACTTACGTATTAACGCCACCGCAGCAAAAATTCATTCTTGTAGTACTAAAAATTGGGCTAAAAAGCAGCAAATAACAAGACAATAAGGACACTAAAGATCTCTTCTTGCGTGTACAAACAACAAGGCGACAATAGATAAAAAACTTTGTCACTGGTGGTAGGACCTTTTGTGAGTCCGCACGGGTAGGTACCACCACCTCGCCTATTTCTGCCGTGAAGCAGTAATTTCGGATTAAAGGGTGGGGCAGCCGTTCTAACTATACTGAGACCTTAGAAAGTATATCTCAAGGTGGGTGGCGCATTTACGTTGTAGATGTCTATGGGCTCCAGTAACCGCTTAACACCAGGTAGGCTGTGAGCTCGTCCACCCATATAAACAATGATCGCTTTTTATTAGTTCATTATTTGAATTTTTGCTGCGGTGGCGTTAATACGTAAGGATCCCCGGAGGTACACAAGGACACTGCGCTAATCGTACACAACTCTGATATTCCGCTTTCAGAGTTGAGGAGGCGACCGAGGCTCTGCGCAGTGAGCTCTGGTCGTGGACCGCCAAGACCCATCAGGACATCAAGGGCGTCCTGGCGTACATAGCCACCAGACAGGTGTCGGTGCTAGCGCAGTCGCTGCAGGGCTGGGAGCAGGCGCTCCGCGTGGCCACCGACACGAGCGTCCACCATTTGTTCCAGACGGTCTCCAAGAATGGCGTCCGCAACCTGTCCCCCACCACGTCGGCGGCCCCCCACGCGTCCCCCAGTGCGTCCCCCCAAGCAGACCCCCTGCGCCCCGACTCGCCCGACGGCACGGACACCTAATCCCTCCCCCTCGCTCCCTCCCGACAATAATACGATGCATATCCTCGTAGAAGCTAGATTCGAAATTTTTTAAGTAATTTAGAAAACTTAACCAGACTTAATCCTTTTTGTGTCAACTTTGTTCCAATGAAACTCCTTCGAGTGTCTATGTAACTGAGTAATTAGTTATCGCTATAACTGCTAAACAAAATGTTCTTTTATTAAATACTAGCTGANTAACCAGACTTAATCCTTTTTGTGTCAACTTTGTTCCAATGAAACTCCTTCGAGTGTCTATGTAACTGAGTAATTAGTTATCGCTATAACTGCTAAACAAAATGTTCTTTTATTAAATACTAGCTGACCCGGCAGACTTCTTAGTGCCTCGATCGATAAATAAAAGACCTAAACTTTTGTATAAAATAAACTTAAAACAAACAAAAGGAATCCGTCCGACGGAGGACACATCAAAGGAAACAACAAAATTGTTATTTTTATTTAATTCCGAGCATTTTCATATTTATATCTACCTTCTAAACCTTCTCTGGACTTCCACGAATAATTCAAGACCAAAATTAGCCAAATCGGTCCAGCCGTTCTCGAGTTTTAGCGAGACTAACGAACAGCAATTCATTTTTATATATTTAGATATAGATTGTAGCAGCAATAGATATCCCACACTTGAAATTGTTATTATATTTTGGACTCGAGGACTGATTTCAGTAAAATTAAAAGATGTTCGTTTTTGAAAAACCAGTTGGCGTGTGTATTCTGAATCAGTAATCTTTTTTTTTATTATTGCCCTTGTAGGCAGACGAGCATACTGCCCACCTGATGGTGAGTGGTTACCGTCCCCATGGACTTCAGCAATGCCAGGGGCAGAGCCAAGCCGCTACCTAGCAAAATCATACAGTTTTATAGGATAGTGGGGGTCAGGGAACAATATTCTTATCCAATTGCAACCGCACATGTTTCTAGCGTCACACACAGCTCGATTCTAATTGGTGGCAAAAAATTAACACAATAATACCAATAACTAAAAATACAAATGCAATAATTTCAAGGATCGAATTTCCCACCATGACAGATGTGTGAACCACTACTTATTATAAGGTACTTATCACACTGGTCCCTTGAGATATGATTCCCTACTTTTGGCAATTAGACAAATATACACATTTACATATCGACGCTTCCAAGGCAAACGTGACTAAGCGACAATGCGTGAACTTTACAGTAGACTAATTTAAAGTTGAAATACCTGAAAAAAAAATCTATTTTAACGAATCTAGCTGTAGGATTGAAATGATTTTAATAGACATAGAAAAATTTTTTTTTGCAAATCGAATAAGGTTATTGCCTATCATTTATGTACAAAGCAGTTTTTGTCGCTTAGTCACGTTTGCCTTTCAAGCGTCGATATATACGTTTAAATACATAAATACTGCTTGTCTGATTTGCGAATCGAACCCACGTCCCTCGGCCCGGCGGTCAGGTGCACAAACCACTGCGCCGCCGAGTCGCCAAAGATGAGTTCTCGAACAACTGAGCTGTGCCGGGAATTCCCCGGGACTTAATGAAATGAAATGCGTTTATTTCAGGCAACTTAAGCCCGTAAAATGTCACATACAATTACATAACATCTAAATCAAAATACAATAAAATTAAAATTACAATTTATCAGAATGACTAAAAATAAAAACAAACAAAAATGAAACCAAATCAAAATTATTAAAATTAAAATTGTCAACTACTAATATAAAATTAATAAAAGAACTAAAACAATAAGATTAATGAGAGACAGATGCTTATTACAACAGTGTCTTAAACAGTAGTATAGTGCATTATACTAACACATCAGCGAAGCACTGCTCTTGCTAGGGCTAGTGTTAGCTAATTAGCCAGAACCGGGTGAGCTCACCTACAACATTAGGTGAAGCTAAATAGTCAAAGCTACTATCATAAATCAACAAAAAAAAGTACCAACCGACCTCTATCCTTCAAGTGCCTCAATCGATCAATACATTTTGTTACATTGACATGCCAAGCAAAATTGATAGGTAATTCAAATTCTGGAAAAATGTAAAATGTGTGTACATACATACATCGCGACAAACTGCATGTCTATTCTTCAATTTATTCACCATCCTCTCCGTTGTAATTCTAATGATGTGATACTTTATATATCCCGTGGCGTGTTGATCTAAGTCGGTGATCAGCAATTAATGTATTAATAAAATAATTACGATTTTTTTTAATATCAAGTTTATTATTGTGATTGTATGGCTCTTGTCTAATGCAGCGACATAATATGAGAAATTGAACCGTATAAGTAATTTTATGTGTCTGGAGCCTGCAAATATTCTAGAATGCTTTAGATTTCTCCCTGTACTCTAGTGTGTACCTTGTACCGTACTGTGTAACTTGTACCGTACTGTGTAACTTGTACCGTACTGTGTAACTTGTACCGTACTGTGTAACTTGTACCGTACTGTGTAACTTGTACCGTACTGTGTAACTTGTACCGTACCTTGTACCTTGTATTGTACGGTATACATTGTACCGTACTGTGTATCATGTACCGTACTGTGTACCATGTACCGTACTGTGTACCGAACTGTGTACCCTAAACCGTATTGTTTACCTTGTACTGTACTGTGTACCCTGTACAAAACTGTGTATCCCGTACCGTACTGTATACCTTGTACCTTATTGTGTAGTATGTAGTTTGCCTTGTAGTAAATGATGTTTTCCATAGCAAGATACCATACGCTCTCTAGACAATAATATATTGTTTGTGGTAAAAATGTTCGGACATTTAGTTTTTATAAGACTCAAATATCGGACATTCAGTATTCAGTATTACGCTATAGCATAAAATAAAATAATCGACTTCCATGATATGTTTGATTGTAGATTTTATTTTTATCTACAACCATCCGATTGTTTGGGACAACGTTAGTAGGGTATTTGACACCGAATCTAAATCATACATTAATAAAAAAAATGTATTGTTTATATGGGTGGACGAGCTCACAGCCCACCTGGTGTTAAGTGGTTACTGGAGTCCATAGACATCTACAACGTAAATGCGCCACCCACCTTGAGACTAGGGTCTCAGTCTTACAACGGCTGCCCCGCCCTTCAAACCGAAACGCATTACTGCTTCACGGCACAAATAGGCGGGGTGTTGGTGCCTACCCGCGCGGACTTTCCAAACAATTACCAGCGATGTAATGTTGTAGAAGTATTTATTGTATTAAATTGTAATACACATATTGTGACCTAAAAACTTCTGGTTTTATTTTAACCCTTTGCGCTAGAAAGATGATTCTCGCTCACCATTTGGTTTGGTGCGCGGAAATTTGATGCACTGTGTAAATATATTATGTTACTTCATTTGGTGATTGACATCTTGTTTATGGTATTTATATCTGTGTACTTAGTGCGAGTTTTTTAACGTTCTCGATAGCGTAAAAGTTAACTCAAAGAACAATGCCCAAAAGTGGGCCAACTTTATGTCAAAACTATTTGTACTTGAAAAACTATGCCTTATTTTTTCACGTTGCTTAGTTTATGTATCAACATTTCTTTCAACCTGGCATTGTTTTACAAAAAAATAAATTATTGATTTGATAACATCCCAAAACTGAGTGCCATAGTTTTTAAATTCACCAGTAGACAAAAGGGCTTAGCCCATACAGCCCTATAGTAAACCTATATGCTGCCAAACGAAAGTTGTCTGTGACTTGAACAACAAAAAAAAAAAAAAAAAGCTAATGGTTATTTTTAGTTTATTTTTGTTCAATTCAATATTTATATATTGTAATAATAATTATTACTTAAAACCATGAATTATTTAATATTTTTAGATATTAATGATTCCATTAGTAAAAATCTCAACGGCCTACTATTACTCTATTCTTCTATACTAATATTATAAAGAGGAAAGATTTGTTTGTTTCGAATAGGCTCCGAAACTACTGGACCGATTTGAAAAATTATTTTTCCATTAGAAGCCGACATTGTCCCTGATGAACATAGGCTACCTTTTTTTTTTTTTTTTTGTTTCATGTATGTTTTAATGTTTCCGAAGCGAAGCGAGGGCGGGTCGCTAGTATTATATATGATCAGAGAGTTTTGGCAGCAACCCGAGTGAAGCGTCACTTGAAGTTTTATTTTAATGTTTTTTTAATAGTTTATTGTGATTCTAACGATTATATTGTTATTTGAAGGCTGTCGAATTTAGTGTTGTCCCATATATATTGTACCAAGATCCGATCAGTACTTTCTGAGTTATCCTTAGTAGTACATAATATAATTATATAATTGACTTCAATTGATGAATTGATGATTTTATTTTGTTGGGTTGAGGTTAGATTGATTTTTTTGTCAAATTTCAATTTTATTGTTTATAATATAAATTAAGATTAGGAATGAGTATATCAGGGAAAGTGTGAAAATAGTCCATAGAGTTACTATTCTAACTGGAGTGCTTACTTCGTTTGACATAAAAACTAAAAATATACTTTATCTCTATGGCTTAAAGTTTATTTTTAAATAGCAAAAGATGTAAGGAAAAACGGTCTGAAAAGAGAATGATTATTAAGTGGTGGTGTCCCTCTCGCACATTTTACAAACAAAAAGCAGTGTTGCTAGCTTAGAAGATTTTCCACAAAATCTCGTAATTTGGACCCCTGTCTTAGTTATCAAAAATGGCTTTTAGTGGTTACTGGATTTTTTAGTAGAATATCATATATTAATAAAGCTCATTAACAAAAAAAAAATTGTTCTATATTAATAAGAACTGTTTAATGGAAAATTTAATGGTAGGTACGTAGATTTCTGATGGTTTTCATGTTGAAGTTGATGGGAAGCCAGATTAATTGTTGGCATCACCAAAAAAAGCTATGAATGGATTAAAAGAAAAATGGCGTCTATTTACGTTGTAGGTACTTATTAACTCCATGAAGTAGTCCCGGTGAAGAGCGGACGGTTAGCGTGGTGTGGACATGTGACTAGGAGATGTGTGGAAATAGTAGTGCAAGGTAGAGGGGGAAGAGATTGACAAAAGAAGACGTGGAAGGAATGTGTGAGTTTTTTTTTTTTTTTTTNGCTAACAACTGCCCGAGCGCCTCCGAAGGAGACCTAACAACTCAA